TATCAAAACAATGTAGGAAGCATCAAAAGTGGCACGTAAGCCAGGCACACCTGTAATCTCAGCACCCCAGGAGGCTGAGGCAAGAGGATAACAAGTTCAAAGCCAGCCTAAGCCACTTAGGTGAGACCCTAAGCAACTCAGCAAAACACTATTTCAAAATAAAATATAAAAAAGGCCGGGAATATAGCTCAGTGGTAGAACACCCCTAGGTTCAACCCCCAGTAGGAAAAAAAGTGTTGAAAAAAAAAAAAGGATAGAAACAAAGATACAAAACCCATGATAGGAGTCTGCTCCTTCAGAAGATGAAAGGAAGAGCAAAATTAAATGTAGAAAAAACGCTGTTCTTGAGGGGTCTTGATCCCCACCGTAGCAGGACTTCTCCTGGGGAGTCCCAGTCCCATTAACTTGCAGGAGGCCTTGCTCAGGCTGATTCTTGGTTGGGACCGCAGCAGTGCTCTCGTTTGGGGCCTGCCTACACTGATCTCCAGCACTAGCTCCACATATTCCAAACAACCCAACGTGCAATTTCAGTAACCTAAGGGGAAATGGACTATGTCCTTGAAAAACACAACTTAAAACACCTACCAAAAAAAAAAAAAACTAAGTAAGGCTGTATCTAAAAATATTAGTTGAAATAGCCATCAAAGAAAACTGCAGGCCCAGGTGGCTTTGTGGATGGGTTCCATCTGAAATTTAATGATGATCTTGGTTATAAGCAAACTCTTTTAGGAAATATGAGGAGGACCCCATCTGCTATGGACACCTGAGAGAGGTTTTGGCTACTAGAGGACTTGGACACCACATTAGACCATCTGGGCCTAAGACAGAGGCCACGAGGCCTCAGAGGGACCTTTAAGGTAGGAGCCTGTGGGCCCCCAGCGATCCCAGGACACTGCGAGGGTGCTGGGAGCTGTGCCTCCCCATCGCAGAGCAGCTCTTGGACATATTCTAGTGGAAACCAGGAAAAGGCCTGGCCAGGGCTTTTCACCAGAAGGCTGCCAGAAAGGGCCTTGTGGAAAGACAAAGAAGCCAGGGAGCAGAACAGAGGCTTTCTGTTGCCCTAATGGCAGAGGTGAAGGGTGGAGAGTTGGCAAGGCAGCCTCCAGTCATGCAACGCTCCTGGTGGTGTGGATGCCAACAGAGGAGGGAGGCATGGTTCCTCACCTCCCAGGCATGGAGAACCATCAGCTACAGCTTCCTGGGATCTCCCCAGAGCCTCCACGTCTTGGCCTGAGTTTAGGAGGAGGTTGGATTTCATCCTGTCACTTCATCCAAACGCAGGAAAAAGTCTTGAGAGCAAGGAGGAGCCAGGGCCTGAGGGATCCTGACCACAGGGCAGCCAGGCCTCAATTCCCCCAGGTCCCTCTTTCCTTCCACCAAAGGCTGAACTAGAAGATGAGGGTGTAGTTGGGAGGAGAGGCCCTTTGGGAAGAATCGAAGATGCTATTAAAGGTCCCAGGGTGTGAACACCCTCTTCTCCTCTGCCGTCTACCACAATGTCCAGAAGGTGCCTCAGATCCTGAGTTGGACTTGCTGCATGTTGTTCCTGGACTTTAGACTATAGAACCGTGAGAGTAAATCTCTTTTCAAAAGTAGCC